AATTTTTAATCACTAGAGGTGCTGGGAAATTTTTTTTCTGAAAACAAACAAACCAAGTTTGGAAATTCAAGGCCAAATACGTATGTTTGGGAATCTGTGAGTTAAGGGAACAGTATAGGTTATCTAGCCAATCTCTTTCACTTTCTTCTCGCTTCCAAAACCTTAGCACAGGATACATTCCTGCCAGTGGTTTTATTTTGTATAGCAGATACAATTATCACCATGTTGGGTGCCTTTGTGCTTAAATTCTCATAATGGCAGTATTAAGAATATGCACTGTTAGGGACGGGGCAGATGGTAAGGGAAAGGGGCAAAAACTTGAACAGGAATAAACGAGGCCACTAAATATTAGGTTTTCTGAGTAATGCTTCTTTTTCACTTTGATAATTATTGCTTTCAAGTATTTTCATTATTGAAGTTATTCAGGAAAAATTAGGGTCAGTGAAAACACGAAGCTTTTTAGCTTCTAAACCCTCTCATCCCATTTTTATAGCATGGCTTTTAACAATGGAGAGATTCCTTAGGAAGGCAAGCACCATTCTATGGATCAAATTCATTAGTATTACTCTAAGTTAAAATGTATAAATTCTTCCTTTGGATATATTTTTAACATCAATTTATAACAAACAAAAAATGTATGCCTTTCACCTATTTTCATTATTATTATTTTACCTGCTTTGACTCAATAACTTAGAATTAAAAGAATCAATTACTGTTACCCCCTAAGAAACAAAATACTCTAATTATTTTTTGAGAATATATATCAGAATGAGCCGTACACACTAGAAAACATAGAAGAAATCTTTTTGAAAGCAAAGAATCTTCCTGAAATATCAGCACATTTCAATGCTATCCAAGCTGTTTTCTGAGTCGAGCTGTACTGTGGCAGGCTTTGAAATAACACTGTGACCTTGGCCCACTGAGAAAAGGCGACCCAGAGGGAGCCCTGGAATCAGAGAGGTCTCAGTCAAATTATTTAACTGTTTGATTTCCTCCCCTGTAAAAATGATTAACAACCAACTCAGGTAGTACACAGCTAAGGGCCTGGCTGCTAACCGATAGGTTGGTACTTCAAACTCACACACTGGTTCCAACGAAAGGTGACCAGACAATCTGCTTCCATAATGACTCCAGCCAAGCTATCCACCCGCTAGGCTGGTTCCCAGCTGGGTTAACTGAGGGCACAAAACCACAACAGTTCCAAGGGAGGATAACAAGAACAGCTCGAAAGTACGAAGTAAAGGTTTACAAACAGAATATTTCATGAGTCTCTGGTCTCTTTGGCATTTTACTGCACCCTTCACAGCTCACTGGTGCTTTGTAAAAATAAAAGGTTTAAGTCATCCTAGTAAGTCTCTCAGAACTTTAGTCAGCTAATTTTTCTTTATTCCAAATCCCAAGAAGTTCAAAATAAACTTGGTAAGAAATATGTACCACTCTACATGGCACAGCTCAAATTACTCTAAAATCACATGAAATAATTTAACTGGATTTCATTTGGAGAATGAATATTCCTAAAAAAGTTCTCTGATGACCAAACAAGCACAACTAACTTACCATTTTTAAACTAAGAAGTCTTTAAACTCGGTGCCATCGACTCAATAGATCCTGTGGGTTTCCAAGACCGTAACTTTTTTTTTTTTTTTAACTTTAAGAAATCACTTTATCGGGGGCTTTTACAGCTCTTATAACAACCTATACATCAATTATATCAAGCATACTTGTACATATTTGCCATCATCATTTCCAAAACATTTTCTTTCTACTTGAGCCTTAGGTATCAGCTCTTCTCCCCTCCCCCCCTTGTGAACCCTTGATAATTTATATTCTTTTTATTTTCATATTTTACATCATCTGCTGTCTCCCTTCACTCACGTTTCTGTTGTTTGTCCCCCTGGAGGTATATGTATGCATATGTTATACATCAACCATTTCCATCGGTTCCCCCTTTCTCCCCAAGACTGTAACTATTTACAGGAGTAGAAAGCCCAATCTTTCTCCCTCAGAGAAAGGTGGTTTCGAATTGCTAACCATGAGGATCATAGCCCAATGTGTAACCGCTATACTACCAGGGCTCCTGTCTTGTCAATTTTCCTTTCACAAGGTAGAAGTGGTTAATACAACTGCTTTTAATTACTCAGCCTTGATTACTTTACATATTAATGCCAGAAATTAAGTGATTATAATCTAAGCACCATATGTAGAGCCTAATGTACAAAATTATCTTCATTCAATTGTACACAGCAAAGCTCTACTATGTAAGCATACATACTGTTGCTGTTAATGCTGTCTAGTCAGTTCGGACTCATAATGATCCTAATGTGGTAGTTACATATCTGGTGTCAATTTGAGAGGATTACGAGTGAAGGGGTAGAGTCTGGCCTGTCAATCAAGATATATTGAGGCCTGTGTGGTCATGGCCTTCTCTTGAGAATTCTGGGAACTCCTGCATTTCCTCCTTGGAGGCGGGAGACACTTCTCTCTCTCTGCTCACTCCCTGAGAGCCACTCTACTGACAAGATGCATGATGCTACGCCCTGGGAGCTGGAGAAGTCACATGACCTACCCTGATGCAACCACACCTCTGGAACCACAGAAGCCACAGAGACCCCTTGTTAGTGCTGAGATGCTTACAACGCCACTGGATCTACAAGACTTCCAACCCACTGGCCTGTGATCCTCCTATGTTCGACATCATTGCATGTATTTCATGAGTATGAAGAGGACTACATAGATTGGTATTGGACATATGGGCTAATATGGGACTTATGGACTTGATCTGGACTGGGCTAGGATGTTTTCTCAATATTCATTGCTCTTGTATATAAACCTTTCTTTTTTTTTTTTATAAACCTCTTTCTTAAACGCATCCGAATGTCTATATATTTGTTTCTATAGTCTGCCCAGACTTACACACCCTGTATACAACAAAACGAAACATTTACAATTGTTGTTGTGTTTGTGCCCATTGTTGTTGCCATTGTATCAATCCATCTCTTTAGGGTCTTCCTCTCTTCAGATGACCCTCTGCTTACCAAGCATGAAGGCCTGCTTAAACGGGACTAGTCCCTCCTGTTTATGCACTTAGAGATTACATAAGAGGGAACCTTCTAAAAGTTCATGGAAAATGACAAAAGATAAAAAGAAAAAAGAAAAAATATAAACTTAATTTCTCAACATAAGTCCCATCAAGTTCAAGACATTTTGTAAGTGATGATGTCAGTCATTTTGGCCTCCCCTAAAGAACCTTGAAAATTTAACAAAGTCAGTACTGTTTTCTTTTTCTTTAACATTATTAACTGAAGAAATGTGGAAGCTCTTTAAAGATATTTTTAGATGAGGCAACAAAAATAAGTCAGGAAGAGTCAAATCAGGACTGTAAAATGGATGCCTAATGATTCCCTGTCAAACATTTACAAAATTTGCTCGTTTGATGGGAGAAATAAGCAGGCGCACTGTATGGTGAAGAAGTTTCTTATAAAAACCAGTCATTTTCCTACTAAAGCTACGGTTCACTTTCTCAACACACTCTCATAATAAGCAGATATTAATGTTCTTTGGCCCTCCTGAAACACAACAGACACAATGCCTGAGTACCCCAAAACTATTACTACCGCCTTTCTTCTTCACTGGTTCATTTGTGCTTGAACTGGACCACCCCCGCCTCCCGGGGGTCATTGCTCTGATCACGCATTGTCTTCAGGACGCACTGGCAGAGCCAGGTTTCCTCTCTTGTTTTCTTCCCAGAAACGCTCCAGGTTTTCATCGGTTTCATTTTATTATGGTGGTATGCTTTCTTTATTTTTTGTGTGGGGTAATGCTTTTCTTTATATGAAAGTCAGGACAGGTAACAATTGAGACAGTAACTGAATCGATTAATAGTTTCTTAGGGTTATGGCAGGGAGATGGGGGCAATAATAAAAATGAAGAAAATGTTCTAAAATTGATAATGATGATTGCACAACTCTTTTTAATATATTTAAACCAGTGAATATGTGAATTATATGTCAATAAACTATTAAAATTTTTAAAAAGCAAAATAGAGAGACAAGAAAGAAGCTGTACCAGTGGAATATGTGTAAGATCCTTGTCTGAAGTGGAGGAGGCCGCAGAGGTCTTGGCACAGAGACAATGGCCCAGAATAAAGGAGCTATGTTTGCTGAGTCAGAGCAGAGAGGCAGAAGAGCTACATGGTTGAGATCGTGGGGTGGTGAGGCAGAGCACCAGGCAGACTTCCTGGCCAACAGAGCCAAGGGACCACGTGGCTAAGAGCCGAGGCAGGCAATGTTGTTGACCAAAGACTGTATCCTTAATGTTTTCTGATAATGGCTTGTAGAAACCTGTGAAGTTCCCTAATATACTCCCATAATCATGAATACCGTCTGTGAGTTCTATGTGACCATTACAACAGCTTATCAAATCCAGCAAAGAAGCAGCATGCTGTGGGAGGAATGGTTGGTATCAGAATAGGTTAAAGTAAGACTTTGAGGGGTAGAAAGTCATTTTTATACCTTCCTACTTTTGGGGTATCTTTTTAGTGGCAAAGTTAAAAGCTCTCATGTTATAAAAAATGTTCAACTTCCTTCTAGAGGGAATCCTTTGCAATATTGCATTTAAAATTTTACATGCTTCAATCATTCAGTTAGAAAACTTGTTGCTCACATTCAAATCCCAAACTGGGGGAGAAATTTAAGCTCAACAAAATAAATCTGCTCTGCTAGGTTGAGGCTGCCAGGCTTTTTATGACTCTGCTTGAGAGTCAATGTGACTTGTCTGTAGAGAGCGCTGCTTCAGCAATTCCAAATGAATTTCAAGTCTGTGCTCCATATTTCCTCTTTTGTAAGTTTAATGTATTCAACAACACGGAACTGACAATTTAAATAACTACATTTTTAAACAAACGAAGCATTGATGTTAATGTATGAAAATGGTCCAAACTCCTGGGAGTCTTGGTTCCCACCATTGTTTATTCTGACAACAGGATGTAATTGCTTACTTACTTGGCAGCAAATTTAACCATCTGCTTGCTTGCATGGTCTCCCACAGCCACAAGAGCCTGGACATTGAACTGCTGCTGTCGCAGGACTAGGAAACACTGCTTCCCTGCATAAGACAGAAAAGAGGCAAGTATGTTAAGGATAAGCTACTTAAGGTCTCTCTCTTTTTTTTACGTAAGGTCTTACATAGAAGAAAAATGCTTTCTCACTTTAAAAGCACACCAAATTTTACTGTGCACAGCAGACACCCACATACATGTGTATCTAGCTTCCACAGCTAAAAATAACTGCATGCAACTCACAGCTTCCAACTGCGAAAGAATGAGAGCCTACATTCACTCACTACCATTGGGTTGAGAGTTAAGCAGATCACTAATTCCAAAAAAGATAATAATTTGAGCATGGCAATGACTTCAAGCCAACGCAAACTCTGCCAGAGTTGATGTAGACTGACAGTGACCCCACAAGGTCAGGGTAGACCTGCCTCTGTGAATTTTGGAGACTAACTTTTTATGGGAATA